CCCCACCCATATATAACATAATATAATTCCCAGTCCCCCTCCCCCCCCACACACACATATAAAAATAATATGAATCACAGTCAGCCCTCCCCCCGAACACCCACATACAAAATAAAATACAGAGCCCTCTCTCCTGCTTACCTTTTTGCAGGGAGGAGGCACAATTGATCCCTGGTGATCTAGTGGTTGATTGGTAAGGTCTACTGCAGACCTTACTAATCAATCCTTTCGGGCCAGCATTCAGCAAAGACGCTGGCCGAAAGGATCTGAGTGCCGGCACAGAAGCAGGTATGCGGTCTGCATCCGACAGATCTCCTCTCGCAAGTCTGGTACGCGGTCCGTGTGAGCTGGCTGCGGGCCACATAGTACCGGCTTGCGGGCTGAAATTGGCCCGCTGGCCGGTACTTTGATACCACTTGGTTAAAGTGACCCAATTACGTACATCAGTGTATCATCCCCAAACAGATGGGTTGGTTGAAAGGTTCAACAAAACCTTGAAACAAATGTTATGGAAGGTGGTGGATAAAGATGGAATGAACTGGGATTGCCTAATATCCTATGGGGTTTTTTCCCTTTGAGTTATTGTATGGGAGACACCGAAGGGGGCTATTGGACCTCGCTAAGGAAACTTGGGAAAGTGAGAGTTCTGCTCACAAAACTGTATCGAGCATATTGCACAGATGCAAGACTGAATGGCTCAGGTGATAACAATTGTAAAGGAATATTTGGCCCAAGCGCAGTTAGCACAGCAGAGGATTTACAATCATGGGGCCCAGACCCACACCTTTTCTCCAGGTGATAGGGTGCTGGTATTGATCTCCACGGTTAAAAGTAAATTCCCAGCCAAATGACAGGGTATATGTGAGATAATTGAAAAAGTGAGTGAAGGGAACTATAGGGTCAGACAACCATAAAGGCGAAAGCGAGAACAAATATATCAAGTAAATCTGTAAAAAGCCTGGAAGGATAGGGAATCCCTAGTAGCGAAGACTTCACCATCACCACCTCAATCAGATTATTTGGCACCTGAGGTTGGGATAGCAGTCACCTTATCGAAAATTCAACAACAGGAAGTTAAAGAATTTGTGCTCTGGAATAAGGAGGTCTTCTCGGAGCTTCCAGGACAAACATCTGGGATAGAACATGATATCACCCCACCAGGTGAAAGGGTCAAACTGAAACCCTATAGAATTCCAGAAGCCAGACGGGAGGCAATATGTATAGAAGTCCAGAGAATGCTTGAACTAGCTTGTATAGAGGAGTCCCAGAGTGACTGGTCCAGTCCCAACGTGCCAGTACCCAAACCTGATGGGAGTTGGTGATTTTGCAATGACTTCCGAACAGCTTAATAAGATTACTAAATTTGACACCTATCCCATGCTCCGTATAGAAGAATTAATTAACCTACTAAGAACAGCCCGGTATATGACGATCTGACCATGGAGTACAGGCAGATTCCCCTATCCAAATCGGCGAAGGAGAAAACTGCATTTGTAACTCCAGTTGGGGCATTCCAATAACAAAGAATGCCTTTTGGGTTACAGAATCCTCCGGCAACATTTCAGTGGACAATGGGTAGGATTTTAGGGCCTCATCAAAAGTATGCTGCTGCTTACCTTGACCGATGTGATCATCCATAGCACAGATTGGGCCCCACATCTGCCAAAAATTCAAGCTGTGCTAGACTCCATATGAAAAGCTGGGTTTACAGCCACCCCCAAAAATGTACCATTGGGCAAGAGGAGGCAAAATATCTTGGGAGGGGAATAATAAAACCCCAAATAAACAAAGTTGAGGCCATACAGAATTGGCCACGTCCCAACAAGAAGCAGGTACAAGCATTTCTTGGAATCTCTGGCTATTACCAGCGTTTCATTCCTCACTTTGAAAAACAATATTGTGCCGAACTAATAATCATACACATCTAATAAATTGAAACATATATAAATGAGTCACATATATGACCCTTCAAACAAATGAGGCATAGAAAATATCTACACACAGACAAAAAAGCAATATAGACAAAAAGAGTCCCAGGAAAAAACAAAAGCAAACATGGTGATTGTGCAAAAAAAATTCCCCAGATGATTCGCAGCCAATCTGCATATAACTCTCAGGTAAGGATAATCACACAATGCAGGCAGACCTTCACCTCCACCCAGTGAGTGATGACAACAAGTGAGTGCTCACCTGGGGAGGTAGACCCACAGAGCTAGGTCAAATGCGCTTTTTCCCTTCTTAATGGGGGAGGGAAGCCCATGCACAGAAAAGGCGATAAGGTCTCCTCAGATCACAGGTACCAGTATAAATCCAGGAGGAAAGAGAAAAAGGACAAGGACATAGTGCGTAAAGTCCAATAAAATGCAATTTATGAAATAAAAAATGCGTACTCACAATGGTGTAAACAGTACAGGCATTGGGTATTGCTGGATCAAACAAGCAAGGCAAATGGCAGCAAAGCGATAAAAAAACCTGTTTGTCCAGCTCAGCTCAGTGCAGTGACATCAGAAGCTCTGCCCTACGTACGTTACGTCAAAAACAAGTGACTTCATCAGACTCCTGATGAAGTCACGTGTTTTGACGTAACGTACGTAGGAGTCTGATGAAGTCACGTGTTTTGACGTAACGTACGTAGGAGTCTGATGAAGTCACGTGTTTTGACGTAACGTACGTAGGGCAGAGCTTCGTATCGTACAAGGTCTCTCCAGGACCAAAAGAGATCTTAACAACCCCCAGGTGTTGGATCTCATGACCTTGTTTCAGATGTATGTAACACATGAATTCACAAAATTCCTACAGTCCATCCCCAAATTAGACTTTGAATTCATCATCCTGTGGCCCCCAAAATGCCCGGCGAATCAAGACAGAGTCCCAAAACAGCAGTATGACGTAAATACAAATATTTCCCTTCGTGAAAAAAAGTCCATGGGGTTATTCACTAAGGATATAGCTGTAGGTTTGGCTTATCCTTCTACTTGCTTTGGCCGTGGGAACCTTCAGTTTAGCAGAACCGAAGGGCTACTGTACAGTAGTGTACAGACGTGTCCCCTGCACTCCTTTCAGCGTATACAATGTGTAGCAGATGTGGTGCTGGTAGTGATGAACACGGATGGCACCCTGTGTATTCAGCCTTGAGAATGTTGTGGATCACCAGCACTCATAAGATATCATTTTCAAATCCTTG